ATATATATATATATATATATATATATATATATATATATATATATATATATATATATATATATATATATATATAAAAACATCAAATCTTTTTCTAAATATATATATATATATAGCTCTTAGTAATAATAATTATTGGATTGGATATTATTGCCAGTTATTCAGGAAGGAATCAATTATTTACAAATCCCAACTTTCTGACTCCTTTCCGTCTGTTTCTCGCAGGTGTGGTTCAAGAACCGACGCGCCAAGTGGAGGCGGCAGAAGCGCTCCTCCTCGGAGGAATCGGAAAACTCACAGAAATGGAACAAAAAAGCGGAGAAAACGGACGGGACTAAAAGCGACGCGGACTCTGACAGCTGATGGAGACGGGGGCGCGCAACGCGGCCACGTGATGTGATGTTGCACAGGTGTACATATCGTTTTATTATTGACTGTCTCCGTGACGCCTATTTATATTTAATTTAAAACTTTTTTTTTTTTAATGTCGTCTTTGAAGTGCGCGCAAACACAGTGCGCCATGTGACAGTTTGTGGATGTTCATTGTTGCTGCGCGTGCAGCTACGCTGCGCGTGCGCTTATTTGTAATTAATTAGAAATTAGGCGACATCTTTAAGGTGTAAATGGAAGAAGGGGTTCTGTAGCTTGAAAGATACCGAACAAATATCGGGCAATAGAGAGTTACTGACCGTAAAAATCATCAGCGTCAGTTTTCCGCAGCTTAATTTGTGTAATTTTCAAAGAAATTCTATCAATATCGTTTTTTTTCTAATTAAATGTGCCACCAATTTGGAACAATATTTTATTTCTTCAAAAATATTCTCAAATTAAGAGATTAAATTTACAGAAAAAGCAGCAGAAACTTAGAGGAGGCAGATTTGTGTTTTAGGATAAAAAAAAAAAGATTTTTTATATTTATCTGGTTTTGTAAATATGATTACTATAATACATTTTATTTAATCAGTTAATTACAGTGTAACAAATCTAAATTTCTGCCGAGATATAAGATACATTCCTGCACATCAGTTTCTGGAAATCAAAACTTGGTTTTATGTAAATGATGGATCTAATGTCAGTCAAGTCCTTAAAAAAAGAACATCTTTGTAAGTAGATATGAATGTCTGTATCTGTGAAAGATGTGAATAAATATCAATTTATGTAAATATGAAATGAAGAGGTAAAATATGAGCCTCTGTGAGGTACAGAGCATCTGAAGGCAAGATGAGCTAAACTGGAACAGAAAATGATTTTCTTTGCTCAGAAACAGAAACAAAATTCAGGTGAAAACTAATATCTGACTAAACCTTGTGTCTGCAGCTTTTAATCTAATATGACAAAAGAGCTAAATTAAATCTGAATAAAAACAATATAAGCAGTATATAAGTCACTTTGTTTTTCTTTCAACAATATCTGGTATTTTGCATATCTTTCTGTCGTTTAATCTCAAATGCAACATTTTGAAGCAGGAAATCACTCAGTTGAATAGCAAAACATAAAAGAAGTGATTCTCTTAATTTCACAGTGAAATTAAGATTTAGAGAAGAAAATCAGATGTTCAGTAAGATAAAAATACTCCTAACTCATAAAATAACACGCAGGAATGGAAATTACTTGGAAACTTGATATTTTATTGCTAAATTTTTCTCAGATCAGAAACATAGTACTCAACATTCCCTAAAAAACATTAATGACTTAATTTGATGTACTGCAGCATTTAAGGTCCCCATGTTATATAAGACCTGATAAATGCAAAGAATGTTCAAGCTGTCCTGCTAATCAGAACAATCATGTTTGAGGACTCCCTCTTTAATACAACGCCGATGTTTCAGACTGTAAAAATTCTTTAGAGAAGCAGAAAATCAAAGTAATGATGGCTGATGTCAGATTCTGCAGCAGAGTCCTTCAGGTTCATAAACACAAGCAGGATGAAAGGGGGGGAATTCAGCTTTAAAATAAATTCTTCTACTTTTCCAAAGGTTTTTATTCCAAAGAGAAGAAACGTGCTGCAAGTATTTCCCCCTTTGATTTTTTACAAGGATTAAACTGAAAACTGGGATTTGTTTCAGCTCGGTTGAGTTTCCCACATTTATCCGAGGAATTCCAAACAAACAGCGGCGGCAGCATGCAAGCACATGTGGGGCAGGTTTTATGTTGAGATTTGGATGAACGGCTTCTTCCTCCGTCACTGAGCTGGAAAACGAGCTGCCGAGGCAACAACACATGGAACATCTAAACCCGATAGGAAGGAAAATGATTTTCATCTGCACAAACTCAAAAGTTTATATGACCTAATTGCAAGAAATGGCAAATATTTTGGTGAGGCTTTGTTTACTATAGAAAAATAATTAGATCTCAACATCTTAAACAATGTAAATGAATAAAAATAGATTATTTTAGTGCTGTTATTAAAGTGATCTCTTAGTTTTAATGGAGAAAAAGGCCCCCATGTTAGCAGGGGAATATAAAAGAAATAATAGACAAGAATGACCAGAAATTAAGATCAATGAGCAGTTTGAGGAGGGAAACTCAGAGTTTGCTTTTTATTTAATTAAAAATTAGGGGCTGCACAGCTTTAGGGAGAAATGTGTTTCTCTTAATATCAATTACCAGGATGTAGAATAAAGACCACCATATTTGATTTAGCTGATTAGCAATCAGAAATGCTCCTACTGTATACATAAGCTCAAGCCGTTTTATTCTGCAGGTTCTGCAAAGAGGATTCAACAGAGATACAAACCGTCATTCTAAAGTTAAGATTAGGTTTGTGCTACTAAACAATTCAGCCACTCAGATGGACAGTATTATTGAGGAGACTTTGCCTCAAGCTGAAGGACCCTATTAATCATTAGAAAAGGAACAATTCTCTTACATTTAAATGCACAGGACAAGGACAGAGGAAGAAGAGCAGATGTACGGTAGCTGCTTTCACCTAAAGGAGTTTGATCTCCTAGACTGAACTGGATTTAAACACAGTAACTTAATCTGAGATGAATTCATTCGGAATCAGAGCTTTTCCCTCTTCATCCTCTCTCCTGTAGCAGCAGCCTTTCTGCTCTCCTGATGGCCTGAAGCCTGATGGGGATTTATAGACAGTATAAAAAGGCACTGTGGAGCGTCCGGCCAACCTAACGAATATCTGCTTACTCTAAAACAATGACATGGGATCTACAAATAAGCTTTGCCTTTTTTTCTTGTCGCAAAACATAGCAGGTCCATCTTGCAACAGCCGAGGAGTTCCCTTTGCTGTTTTTTTTTAGAAAAGCTTTGAGTTTTCATTGAAAAGCTTTGAGTTTTCATTGCAACATTTCTGGTGGAAATGTTGCAATTGTTGTCTGCAGCACCTTAGTGTCTAACTACAATAAAGACTGAAAAAAAAACAAAAAAAAAAACGAAAACATTCTGTAAATTACAGGAATATTATCTTGAATATCTGGTAGTTTAGTATCCGATCATCTGCATCCGTTTAAACACAGCGTCTCAGCCACTTTAATTAAATCAGCCTTACGTTTATTGATAAAGTTTGCTCTATTGGATATTTGCAGGGCAAAGACTAGATTGATGTATTTTTACCTGATCACTGCTGCAAAACAAATCACCCTTTTGGACATTTAAAAAAAAAAGTATACATGAGAAACTGTTAAATATTTAAATTCAAAAAGGCTGAAATTTTTTGTGTCCTCAGTTTGTAAAATAATTACATTATTTCAAACTGTACCATTAATGATGCCAGAAAGCAAATATATAAGACATTTTATCATCTATTTACCTAAGACTTATATCATGTCAAACTGATAAAAAAATCCATGCTATGTTCATGTTCTATCCAGATAATCCATTGGGTGGATAAAAAAATATTTTTTTAACAATTTAGATAACAATTGCTGTCATGAATAATATATATATTGTATATGCACCAGTGTTGGCAGACAACAGGACTGTTTAAAATTGTGTTTCTAATTCTTAAGGTGACCAAAGTTACTTTTTAAATAATTTTCAAAGGCTTTGAAAAGTTTTAGTTCAAATAGATCCAAATATTTTTTCCACTACTTTTCTTGGCTCTTGGTTTAAACATGATTTGATGGGTGTTCTAAATCACATTAAAATTGTCATACAAAAACGTCATGGTAAATTTGATTTACATGTTTATTTCAAACTCTTCATGAGACTGGACTTTAATTATTCAAATACACAATTCATATGTCATTGCAATACTGCTCTAAATAGTTAGGCTTTTTGACATTTTTAAAGTACAGAGACAGACCGTTGTTTAGTAGCATCATTTCTGACTACTTGGTTTTGCCCGATTTTGTATGAAGTAAGTTGTAATTTACAACAGCATCATTAAAAAGGGGAGTCAATAAACACATTTAAAGTATCTAAAATATAATTTAGCCCTAAACATCCTCTGAATGTCTTATATGCATATGCAGATATGGGGAGCTGTGATTTGATTAATTTAAATTTTCTCCTTTTTTTCACAAGCGTCATGCTCCTGAGTAGGGATATAAAAAAACAGAAAAGTCCAAGGAGCTCAGTGAAGGTCTAAAGGGAAATCTGCAGATTTTCACAGATTAGGAGAGTTTTTTGAGCCCACCAAAAAGAAAAAAACAGAAACAACATATTCCCAAAGCATCTATTTAAAAACACAGTATGTAAACACAGGTCTTTAAGATGTGCTAACACCAAAACTGCCCTGCTTGTTTTGGAAGGAGGTCAGCGGGATGATTAAGCACAACAAACACTCAAGCCTGCTAAGAAGTGGAAACTGTGGGAATTCAACAGTCACACAAAAAACTGATGAAGAAGTCAAGGGAGCTGCTGGTAACATTATGCTCTGGGCTGTTTGGTTGCTATGGTACTGGTGCATTGAATAAAGTGGATGTGGTAATAAAAGAGGAGGGGATGAATTCTTCAACATGACTTTAGCCAGATTGCTGAACATTGGACACATGGTCCAATAGGACATGGTCGCAAATGCATTTAAACAGGTTTCAGGTTTCTTTAGGGATGCTAAAATTAAGCTTCAGGAATGATCTTCACAAAGCCCCTGCCCTAACCCTGTTATGTACACAAATGAGGCTTTTGAAAGTCTCATTTGCAGTGGCTGAAAAGCTAATTTAATAAACTACTCCATCTGTGCCAAGACACAGAAAACATAGTTGTCAGTTGCATATTTAGTGTATGCATCTGTCTGTTTGCTTCAGTGATAATTAATACTAGTGATAATGAGCTGCATTCTTGGTATCCTTGTAAGATTGATTTTGCAGCAGAAACTGGCCCTGTTTTACCCAAACCATAGAACATCTTGTCAAAAATACCTCAAAGAAGAGTTTTAAGGATTCTGATGTAAATCGTGGTTTAATGGATTATTTGAAAGCTGATGGAAAACATCCTCAGAGACACTTATTTGAGGGAAAGGCAGAGTTTTAGCCTCATCATAAAAAAAGCCTTTAAAATATCTAAATTTTGTTCCTAGTAAACAACCAACTGAGGGAATAAGATGGATCTCAGATAGTTACTATGACAACCAACATATTGCTATAAACGGCAACTTAGATATAAGCTATGGCTTCCTCAGAATTTATATAGATTGAAACTGGACTACTTGTCCTAGAAGTCAGATCTGTGAATAAAGACTCCTCCCATTTTAGAAAACCCAGCTGAAAAAAAAAATATGTAGATGATTGTTGCATTGGTCAAAGATGGAGTGTTCTGTCACAAATATAATACAACCCAAACAGGTGATGCTGTTATTAGAATACAATATAATTTTATTATCATTACATTGTCACAAAAGCACAGCAATGAAATTCACTCTGCATTTAACCCATCCCTTTGGGGAGCAGTGGGCTGCCGTTGTGCAGCGCCTGGGGAGCAGATGGTTAAGGGTCTTGCTCAGGGAGCCTCTTCCTCCGGGATCCAAGCGCAATAACCCAAACCACTAGGCCACCACTCCTCCCTTTTACTGGCAGTGTGATTCCAATACAGTACATCCTTTTACATTGCAAAAAAACCTTCAATAAAATTCTAATTCAACTGAATTAAAAAATACTTAATCAACCCCAAAATGGGAAATATCAGTTTCGGTTCAGCATGCCCAATGAGGACGCAGTGTCCAAGGCCTTGCTGCTGTCAGAGGCATTGCCATAGCTATTTTACATAG